TTATCTATGCCAAGACAAGTGGAGCTGGGCCTGGAGAGGGGCTAATTCCTTGACGGGGGTCCACACAGAGAGAAAGTGGAGCCTTGGCAGAGGTAGCAGTGGTGGGATCCAGCAGAGGTTAGCTTGTCCTCCAGGGTGACGCCCGGCCCCACGTACACCGTCCACCTGTGAATAGCACCAGATCGAGTATCTGCCTCCCTCTTCTCCTCCTCTCCTGCCTCTCCTCTGCCTCCTCCACTGCCATGGCCCGGCCCACGCCTCACTGCACCCACTCAATGGGCCTCCTCTAATCCCCTGACATCACTGCCTGCCCAGCACAGGACCCGCCTGGCAGCCCTGGCAGCCCCTAGCCCTAGAGACCCTGCTTAAGATAATGCCCCTGACCTAGTTTTTCTTTCCATTTTTTGCTTCTCTGAGCTCATAGTTGGATTCCCAAAACCTGTGCCCAAGCTGGAGGGCAGGAGCTTTGGATCTGTCTCCATCTTGCTGGGTGAACTCCAGGGAAGAACTGCCCCTCTCTTGGCCTCAGTTGACTGTTCTAAGTCTCCCCTGACCCCCAGCTAATCACATCACTCTGTTTGGATTTTTCCTCAGCACCTGGTCATACTGGGATTTTTGTTGTTGTTGTTTCTTTACTATTGGTCTCCCCTACAGAACAGTTAGCTCCTTAAGGCAGAAACCTTGACTGCTTTACTCATTCTTATCCCTGGCATACCATAAGGGGGTCATTTGGCCTAGTGAGTAAAGAGCTGTACTGCCACCCCAAAGGCAGGCGGTTCAAATCTACCAGCTGCTCCTCAAGCGAAATCTGGGCAATCTCCTTTCATGTGACTTATGGTTTCTGAAAACCCACTGGAGAGTCAGCTATGAGTTGATTCCAACACAATGGCAATGCAATGAGTTTAGTTGAGTTTATTGAATGTGTAGATGAATGTATGGATGGATGGATGAATATATAGATGAATGAATGGGTGTGTCTCGTGCCTTCAGTGGGAGGGGTGTGAGCCCTCACTCTACACCCCCCACTATCTGCCTCTGGGTGTACGTATGTCACTCATCTTAGGGATTCTGGATGTGTATCGTGGTAGGGTGTGCAAGAAACAACATTCACGTAGACACACCTACTAGAGTGTCAGCTTCATGAGGAAAGAAATATATGTATGTATATGTATATATATGTCAGTATGTATATATATTATATACATATACATATACATATACATATACATATACATCTCCTCCCGTATTGTTTCCTGTTCTTTTCCCAGCACCTCAAACAAGTAGAGGAACATGGTTGTTCCATATGTATGTGTGGAATGAATGAATGATGGAAGCGTGCGCACATGCCTGGTGTCTGCCCACGTGCCAAAGCGTGCAGACGTGTGCAGGTTCCTGCATCTCAGGTGCACCTGGGCATAGGTTGTGTCGCCTGCACACCACTCCTCCTGTCCCTCTTTCAGACTTCTTGGGAGCCTGGACAGAACACTTGGGTCCCTGTGGGGCGGAGCAGGGGGCCGCCTCCTCAGGGGAAACTGGATCCCAGGACGTGCGGAGCAGCAGGGAGCGGGGCGGCCCCTTTGTCCCCCGATAATCCCCTCCCCGCCCTGGCCCCCTCCCTGCCAGCCACTAGGGTTTAAGACCGAGTCTGGGGGCCGTGGAGGACTGGGGTTCACTTCAGTGTCCACTCCCTGCCTGCTGTTTCTGGGGTTTTTGCGCTTCATCCAGACCTCTTCTCTTGGAATGCAAGCCCTCTTCTAGGTCCCTCTCAAATCTCTGTCTCTGGTCCTTAAGGTCTGCCTCAGGGTCTGCCTCTCATTCTTTGTCAAGACCCTGCTTACTCACCGCCTTCACTGGGTGGGGCTCCTTCTTTCCCAGGCGCTGGGACTCAGCCCTAGATAGAAAACTACCTGAGGGACCGGAGGAGAGGTGTCCCTGAAAAACCCAACCCGGAGACTGCAGAGAGAGGGAGGTGCCAAGGACAGAGCATGAGCTGCCTGCTGGGTGAGTGAAGCGGGAAGTGGCCCAGGGCCTGAGGCCGGGAGGGAAGGACGCAGTACTTGGCCCTTCTGGTCCATCTGACCCATGTCCCCGGCGGCTGTCTTTGAAGAGGCTGGGGACAGTTCTATCCACACATGTTGTTGTTGTTGTTCTTGTTAGGTGCCACTGAATTGGTGCGAACTCATAGCCACATGCCTGGTCTTGCACCAGCCTCACAACCATTGCTCTATTTGAAGTGGTTGTTGGGACCACTCTGTGAGTACATGTCCTTGAGGGTCTTCTCTTTCATTGACCGGCTATGTTACCAAGTGTGATGTACTTCTCCAGGGAATGGCCCTTCTGATAATACATCCGGAGTATGTGACTTGAAGTTGCACCATGCTTGCTAAGGAGCATTCTGACCGGATGTACCTCTTCCAAGTTCGTTATTTTTTCCATTCTTTTGTGGTTCAAGACATACTCACATGCTTTGCCGATACCATAATGGAAATGTATCAATTCTTCTTTACTCTTCCTTATTCATTTTCCATCTTTTTGGTACATATGAAACAAATGAAAAGATCAAGAACTTTGTCAAGCACACCTTAAAAAGCAAAGAGATCTTTGTTTTTTAAAATTGCTTTGTTTTGTTTTTTAACATTTTAAAGTGGTCTTTCACAGCCCATTGCAATAAATTGATTTCTTGACAGCTTTCTTAAAAGTTTCATCTGATACTCATCATTGTTCCTTCATTTTTCAACATGTGTTTATTGAGTGCCTACTGTGTACCAAACAACTGTGTGCTAGATACTGCTCTAGGCATTTGAGGGTAAAGAAGTATACAAGACAGACAAAAATCTCTGGCATCATAAAGATTCTATTCTGTAGACAGACAGTATATGTAATAACTAAGTAAATTATAATGCTATTATGGATAGAAGGTGAGAGCAGCGGTCCAAGTTTGTTGAACGACTGAATGAGTGATTAAAGTAAAGGTAAAGGGTCTTTACCTTTGGCCATCGCTTAATTGGCTCTGAACTTCTGGGAATTCAGACTGTTGTTAGGTGCTGTCAAGTCGATCAGGATTCATAGTGACCCCTATGAACAAGGGATCTGAGCCCTGTCCCCATGCTCATATCTCTGATATACTCAAGCCCACTGTGTCAGTCAACTTTGTTGAAGGTCTTCCTCTCCCTTCACTGACCCTCCAACTTTCCAAGCAAGATGTCTTTTTCCAAGGACCGGCCTCTCTTAACAATGTGCCCTATGAACAACAGAGGAACAGGAGACTGTAGGAAGAAGAATAAGAAGGCCAGCTTCTACTTCCCCATTGGTTCTTAGCTAGTGTCTCAGAAGTGTCCTTCCTTTCTGAAACTTTCACTGGTGATGGGAATAAACATAAATGGCAAGATCTCAAAGAGGGCAGCATCTGGCATTTTCATTGGGGGAAATCTGCTGTCAAGAGCCTCTCCAAAGTGATAAAGAACAGTGGTGTCACTTTAAAGACTAAGGCGTACCGATCCAGGTCATTCTCTCTTCAATCGCTTCCTATGTATGTGAAAGTTGAACAATGAATAAGGGTGACTGAAGAATCAAAGCCTTTGAACTGTGGTGTTGGAGAAGAGTACTGAATATCTCATGACTGCCAAAAGAACAAAGAAATCTGTTTTTGAAAAAGTGCAACCAGGAGCAAGGGAAGGAAGGATATGCTTGAAGTATTAGTGGGGCAGAAAGGAAGAGTGCAGTGCTGCAAGACCAAGCTGAGGCTCAGGACCTCGAATGTGTGGGGCCGGCAGGCCACTCCAAGGAGTCTGGGGTTTTCCAGGGAGCCAGTGCAGAGTCTGGGACAGACGAGAGACAATGTTAGTTTTCCATTGACTTCAGAAGGTTCTAGCTTCTGGGGGAAAAATAGATTGAGGGAGGGCTTTGGAAGCCCGGTGGACTTTGGAAGCTTCATCAGTGTGTCTTGTTGGCAGAAGCAAAATATCAGAATTGATCAACTACAGGGCTTGCTGCATCCATACTGTGATACAAATAAGAGAGAGAACAGCAGGAAGATGATTGAGGCTGAGGTGAAGGAGAGGGAGTGAGAGAGGGAGCAGGGCTTTGCAGCCCACACTGAGGACTCTGGCTTTTACTGAGTGAAGTGGGGGCCATGGGATGGTCTGAGCAGAGAAGGGACACGATCGAATTCCAGTGCATATGGATAGAGAGACCAAGGAGGAGGCTACTGTGGTGGCCTAGGCACAAGAAGATGGTGGCTCAGACTGAAGTAACCGCCTCTCAAGAAAGGGTGAAGTGGTTAGATGCTGAGTGTATCTTCTAAATTTTTTTTCTTAAAATTTTATTTTATTCTTTTTTGTGTGTGTACCATCAACTTGGATCTGACTGATACAGAAGGAGATTGACCCTTCTCCAGCAAAGCATCTGGTGGATTCGAACCGCATACCTCTAGGATTGCAAGGCAGCTTCTTGTCACTAGGCCACCAGAGCTCCCTTTAAAAATTTATTTTAAAGTAACAAAGCCACAAAAAAGTGCACAAGTCGATTAGTTTTCACCAAGAGAACAACTGCCCTTGCGATGAGCAGATCAAGAAATAAAGGCTACCCGTCAGGATTCACTGTGAAGAGAAAGAGAAAGTGAGGAGTCAAAGAGCACACTGTGGCTTTGGTCTGAGCAGCTGGGAGAATGCAGTTTTTCCTGTCTGAGTTGGAGCAGGTTGGAGGAGGAGTGGGCTGGAGACAGGGAGATTCAGGGTCAAGTACTGGATGTGCTGAACTTGAGATGCTTGTTAAGATCCAACTTAAAAGTCTCAAGTAGGAAGCTGACTCCGTTCAGGCTAGAGGATTCCTGTCTAGAAGCAATCCACTTGTACCCTGTATGGGGTGATTCTGCCCTGACCCGGATGAACGAGTTCATTGCAGGCTGTAGGGACTGTGCCTATTGAGGAGTTGCTCTGATGAATGAAGGAATCAGCAGGCAGGATAAAGAACATGGTGCTGACTCCTGGTTTCCTTTGCAGCTCCCCTCGGCTTGCTGAGCCTGCTGCTGCCCCCCTTCAGTGCAGCAGCTCCCATCTCCCCAGCCGAGCCCATCAGACAAGCCTACAGTCTGGCGCTTTACATGCAGAAGAACACCTCAACGCTGCTGCAGACTTATGTGAGTGACACTGGGCCTGAGCTGGGGACACAGGGAGAAGGGCACTGGCCTAGTCCTGGGTAGAGGGACAAGAGCAAGCCCAGGACTTCCCTGTGAGCCCACGGGGATAGGACTCTATTAATGAGAGCCACATCTACACAGATTTTGCTACTGGTGGCTGTGTGATTTTGGGCAAAGCATTGCTTCTCTCTTGGCCTTGACTTTATTGGCTGCAAAGTAAGTAACATTGTGATGCTACCTCTATTGACATCTCAGGACTGTTCCCATGTCTAATTAAGGAAACCACTCAGAGGGAAAGGGTTTTACACAGTCGTAATAATTTCCATAATTGTGCTGCATGCTAACTGAGCCCCATACAATGCCTAGTACTCTGCCACATTCCCATTGACCCCTCAAACAGTGTGAAGAAGTGGAATTACAGTCCGCTTCACAGATGAGAAAACTAACTCTTACAGAGGGTGAATGGCTTGCCCACAGCTTCCCAGCTAACGACTGACAGTGCCAGAATCTGAAACCAGGTGTGCCATTTCCCTGCCCCCTCCCCCTTTAGAAATTGAAGCCAGCAGCCCATTACTAGGTCTGACCCACAGGTGGTTTTAGTTTAACACATTTGGTGCTTGTTCAACTTCTGAATATGACGTCTGCCTGAGACAGACACAGGGGTTGACCAAAGGCTTGCTCCTGCCTCTCTTCCTCCTCTTCACCCTGCCTTCCTAGCACTCCCACCCCAAATGGCATGAGCTACCTGGTGCTGGAAGCCTTGGAGTTTGTCACTTTTCCATTGCCCTGTATTGTAGGCTGCTAGGAAGTCATTCCAACCTGGTTCTAGTCCATTATTTTCCACCTTTTCCTGGATGGTCTTGGACAAGTCATAGGCACGGTCACCATCTGAGCCTCAGTTTACCTAATTGTACAATACATGTGCAGGACTAGGTCATCTATCAGTCAAGGGATTTATCAGTTTATTCTAAGGTTCCTTGGGCCGAAGGCTATGGAGAAAAGAATGTCAGTGGAGAAGGCTCACAACTAAATTGAATGATGTTAACAATTCTTTATTAATTCCTATAATGATAGTTCTGATGGCATAGTCCGTAGAGTGTTGCACTGTTAACCTAAATGTGGCGCTTCTCTACTGGTTCGAATCTACTAGCTACTCAGAGGAAGACAGGCAGTCTCCTCTCATTAAGATTTACAGAGAGTAAAATTAAGAAACTTCTGGAGGGTCGCTATGAGTCAGAACCCAGTCGATGGCAGTGAGTTTCACTGTAAAATTAGGAAGGAGCCTTCACGGCGTGAATCGTTAAAACTGCCAACTGAAAAGTCAGCCATTCTCCATGGAAGGAAGATGTGGCTGCCTGTTTCTATAAAATTTTGTAGCCTTGGAAACCCTACAAGGCAGCTTTTCTGGCCCTGTAGGATCACTCGGCAGCTCTGGTGCCCTAGTGGGTAAAGAGTTGCGCTGTTTCTGTGTGTATGTGTGTGTGTGTGTACCATCAAATCAGATCTGACTGGTACAGGAGGAGATTGTTCCTCCTTTTCCTGGCAGAGCATCTGGGTGGATTAGAACCGTGTGCCTCTGGGATTGTAGTTGCAGCTCCTTGCCACTAGGCCACCAGAGCTCCTCCAAGGGTTGTGCTGTTTAACAACCCAAAGGCAGGTTGTTCAAATCCACCAGCTGCTCCTGAGAAGAAAGATGGGCAACCTCTTCCTGTGAAAATCTGCTTGAGGGTCAGCTTTGTTTTTTCTTTTTAATGTGTGTACCGTCAAATTCGATCTGACTGGTACAAGAGGCGATTGTTCTTCCTTCTTCAGCAGAGCATCTGGTGGATTTGAACCTCGCACCTCTGGAATTGCAGTGCAGTTTCCTGCCACTAGGCCACCAGACCTCTGGAGGGTCAGTTTTGAGTCAGTTCAAACTTGAAGACCCAAGACAACACCAGGTGGTTGTCCCAGTGCTCTGGTGGCCTAGTGGGTAGGGCGTTGCACTACTAACTCAAAGGGAGCGCCCCTCTGGTGGTTCAAATCTACCAGTGGCTCCGCAGGAGAAAGATAGGCTTCTCCTCCGGTGTAATTTCAAATTCTGAAAATCCCCTGGCAGGTCAGCTGTGAGTTGGTTCCAACTCGACAGCAGTGAGTTTTATACCGTCACCATGAGTTGGAATTAACTCAAAGGCAATGAGTTATGTTTAGATAATAAAATTAAGAAACAAAACAATGAAGTATTGTAAAAAAAAGAAAAAGAAATAGTGGAGGGGCAACTGAAAATATGATCATATGGGGGGAGGGATGGGCAGGGAGAGAAGTGCAGCAATGAATGAATGGAAATCCAAAATCTCTGTAAATGCTCATTAAAATTATTTTAAAAATTAATATAAAAAAGGAAAATATGATCATAAACAATATGTCAATTGGTGTTAATGGAACTATATTATTAATAACCGATGATAGTGCCCTCTAGTGGCCTAGTGGTAAGAAGTTGCTCTGAAAAACTGAGGCTAGGTGGTTTTAATCCACCAGTTGCTCTGCAAAGGAAGGCAGATGTGAAACTAGGGCCCTAGGGTATCCCCAAGTCCCCTCATGTGCATCTGTCTCTGTTTTTCACACAGCTCCAGTACCAGGGCAGTCCCTTCAGTGACCCGGGCTTCTCGGCTCCAGAGCTTCAGCTCAGCAGTCTGCCTTCTGCTGCTGTTTCCTTCAAGACCTGGCACGCCCTGGAAGATGGGGAGCGACTGAGCCATGCCCAGGGGGCCTTTTTGGCCTTGACCCAGCACCTCCAGCTTGTTGGGGATGACCAGATCGACTTGAACCCTGGCAGTCCCATCCTGCTGGCCCAGCTTGGAGCTGCAAGGCTCAGGGCCCAAGGTCTACTGGGCAACATGGCTGCCATCATGACTGCCTTGGGTCTCCCCATTCCCCCAGAAGAGGACACTCTTGGTCCTGTGCCATTTGGGGCTTCAGCCTTTGAGAGGAAATGTCGGGGCTATATAGTAACCAGGGAATACGGCCACTGGACAGATCGAGCTGTGAGGGACTTGGCTCTGCTCAAGGCCAAATATCCAGCATAGAAGATGTGGGACATCCTGTCCAAGGTTGCAACACTGTGCCTTTCCCAATGGATTGAAGTCTGACTGGATAAAGGAGGCGTGCCTTGTGTCGCAAACAGGACTATGTGCCCTGCCTGTCTTTGGGAATACTCCCTGGAAGCCAGGCCTCTATTCCTTAATGCCTGGGCTTTCCTGCCCAGATCCAACAATCTCCTTCCAGATCTGGATGGATCTCCAGTGGCACCATTTCCTGGGTTACAAATTCAGTGGTAAACTTCCTGAGTGGACTAAGTGCTGGAGAGGCCTTGCTTCCCACCTGCCAGAAAAGGAGAGTTGGTTTTCTTTCTGGGCTCTTCCTAAGACTTTCCTCTTCTGGGGGCTACACTCTTATCTACCTCACTTCCTGTCTGAAGATAGGGCCTTTCAACAGGGAGTCATTCCCCCTTTTTGTCTGCTGGAGGGAAGGATTAATTTCCTCCCTAGCTACCTCTCTGCCTGTGACCACTGCTCCAACGCCCTGTCTCAAGGGGTTGAGTTTCTGGAACAACAGAAAGCCAATTCTTGAAGATCTCAGGACTTCATTTCCTATCTATTTTCTGCTCAGGACATATCATTTCCTATTCTGGAGTGACAGATGGTGTCCCAGGTTCCAAAGCTTTCACGCATCCATTTATCATTTAGCATGTATCCTGTGAGTTTACGGGGGGTTTTAGTTGCACCCTAAAGGATCCTATTTGCAAAGCTGTCTCCCCATTTATTCGCAACAACTGTACTTACAGATAACTTTAGTTTGCTTTTTATTTTGAAACATTTTAAAAAAAGTTAATTTATTCTCAGAAATAAAACTTTTTTAAAAATAAAAGTCTGGCTCTTTTCTACACACGTAGGTGAGAAGGGTGGGTCTAGTGGGGGTGGGTGAAGGGTGGGGTAAGCTTGGGGACCCTGGGCTACGCAGGGATAAGACAAAGGCAGGTAATGGTGGGGGTCGGACAGCAAAAGGAGAGGGATGGGATGGGGAAGAATGGGGACAGCAGGCAGAGTGGTCCTGGGGGAGAAGTGGCTGAAATTAATCTGGAGCAGCCTTCCCACCATTGGGCCAACAGGCACTTTCCTTGGTCAAAAGAGGACAGAGAGGCAGAGAGATCTAGGCGAAGTAAAGATAAAGTCGAACGTGATTTGCTGCTTGTCGCCTCCTTAAGATGAGGCTGATACAAGACATTCACAGGAGATCCCCTGAGAGGGTGACACGGTCCGGTCCGTCAAGAGAGACAGAGGCAGAACCAAGGTGGAGTAAAAAGGGCAAAGGAATAGTGATACACACACACACAAGAGGGCCCAGAGAAGGAAGGGGGGAAAGAGATAAGGCTTTACAGAGCAGACAGAAATGGAGCCGAGAGGTGAAGACATTCAGAGGCAGACAGAAAGGGGCGGCAGCAGCGTGAGCAGTGCTCCCTGCACCCCGGACTCAGGCCGGACCCCCAGGCACCAGCTGGCTCAAGTCGCCCTCGGTGCGGCTCACCCACTCGCGGTAAAGGCCGCACACGCGGAAGCCCAGCACCTTGGCGGGGAAGACGCCAGTGGAGGCGGCGGCCGCGGCGG